AAAACCTTCTCCAGCGCTGCTTATGCTTACTCCGGCGTAGAGGGTATCGCGGCAGCAGCATCTGAAACTCAGAATCCCCGTCGAAACATCCCAAAGGCTGCGAAACGAATCTTTTGGAGGGTTCTTCTCTTTTATGTGATTACCATCTTCATCGTGACGTTGATCGTTCCCTCCAATTCCAAGGACTTGCTGAGGGCTACAGGGAACGCCGCGCAATCTCCATTCGTTATTGCGGCCACTCTCGCTGGTATAAAAGTGGTTCCTCATATAATGAATGCAGTAGTCCTCACATCTGCTTGGTCTGCTTTAAACTCTGGCATGCTTGTAAGCTCTCCCATCGTACTTGGTAGCGGATATTGTTAACGGTTCGCGTCTAGGGAGCCTCCCGAGTGTTGTACGGTTTAGCGAGTGAAGGCCATGCACCCCGGTTCTTCCTCAAAACCAATCGTTTTGGCATTCCCTACTTGTGCGTAGCGTTCATCGGGTCCTTTATGGCTCTCGCGTACATGACTCTTTCGACCAACGCCAGCACCGTCTTTACCTGGTTCCAAGACATGTCATCCACCGCCACTCTTGTAAACTGGAGTATCATCTGCTTGGTGTACCTTCGCTTCTATTATGGATGTAAGCATCAGGGTATCGATAGAAAAGAACTACCTTGGGCTGGTCCGTTTCAGCCCTACGCCGCCTGGGTGGCACTGTTTGGGTTCATCTTGATCCTTTTAACAGGAGGATTCTCAGGTATTCATTCATGGGCAATGGAGCACGGAGACATTCGTCGCGGCGTACTTCGACATTCCGCTTATCTTTGCGATATATTTCGGGTACAAGTTGGTAAAGAGGACGAAGATTGTGAGCTATGAGGAGATGCCGATTAGGTATTACATGGAGATTGCCAGACAAAATCCCGAGCCTCCAGAGAAGCCTTTGAAGGGATGGAAGCGCCTTGCGATTCTGTGGTCTTAAACTTGTGGGATAGTGTACAGTCAGTATACACTGTAGCTTCCCCTTCCCCTTCTCCTTTCTCGGATCCAGTTTTAACGCCCTTCATCCACCTATTTATTGCAATTCCAAAACCATACGTATGCCTCAGTTCGTGGCACAGACAATCCTTTCATTACTTTTAATAATTAAATGCTTTCGCGCCTGATGTCCTGGCTACCTAAGTAGCCTACTTTCCTTGAACGTTCCAAATCCAAAGAAGCTGCTCAACATGCAATAATTACTGTAAGGGACGTTTCTGAGAGAAGATTATCGAAAGATACGACTACTTATTTATATCCAGGACGGTAAAGTGCATCGATACACCTAGCATTTTGAGCAGCTTTGAATTCACCATACATCTACCCTTGTGGCTTGAGCTCAAAAGCTCAGCTGGTCGTGTTCCTAGCAGAATTGAGTTTGCATCGCCGAAATTTAAGGAAACAACATACCCTGCCACATGATGGCAACCCTCATCCCATCCTTCTCAACACAGTCCAAGGCATCATAAGCTCTCGCAATATTTCTCCTAGATCGAAAGAGAATCGTAAAAGATCGCAGACGGTCGATATTAGGACATGGTGTCCACCGAGATTTAACCATTTCCACGACCGCTTCATCTTTGAATGACGTTGCTCCCAAGTTCAGACAAAGGTGTCGCAACGCTGGAACTAGAGCGACACTGGGACTACTTTGCTGTTGTACATGGAGAATGTCTATGAATTGTGATGTGATAGGACTGAATTCACATGGAATATCGATATCGATTATGGTGAGATCCTGTAAAGTGGGGATGAGACCGAGGAGGTAGAGGAGGTTCGAGTCAGAGAGTGGTAGACTCTCCATGGAAAGGGTGGTCAATACGAAAGAAGATCTTCTGAAAAATTCCATGAACGTGTCAAAGTCGGCCCATAAACCGTGTACGGTTGAGATTTCTACAGATTTTACCGGCTTCAGATGAATAGCCTTTAGAGCAGGGCATGTGAGGAAACGATATATGGCGTGCGGATGGTCCAAATCGGGTGCGAAGGAGCGTACAGTTAATACCTCAACTTTCGAACAAGCTATGGGGGACATGGAATCGGATTCAGGATTGAACGGGTGCATACCATCCACGAAATCTCCGATATCAAGAGAGGTAATAGAGGTACTCTTGTTGAGCTCCCCGTCTCCTCCATGAACCTTCTGTCTGCATCGATCTTGATATGCGACAGCTGGGTCCAAGGAAATGTGGGAGGCATAGGAAGGATGTCACAATCACCTTCAAAACTCATAAGGACGGGCAGGCTGTGAGCAAAGACATTCACATCCTCATCCGATATTCCCCTTGGAAGCGCCAGTTCAACCAGTTGAGGGAACTCGTGGAGATCGTCCAGGGAGATGCCACAACTGGTTAACAGATGTTTAATCCCCCAATATTTAGTCTGAAAAGAGAATCTACGCCAGCGAGGATACTGGCTAACCAAGATAGACAATGGACGACATTTGGGCATATTAGACAACTCGGTATGGGACTGCCTGGCTAGGCTGATATTCACAGTAAGCGGCAATTGCTGAGAGCGACTGATGAGGTTTTCAAATGTTTTCGAACAGTAGCTGTGTCGTTGCGATGATTCTTCAACACAGTCCAGGTCGTGATATTCCACGGATATCCTGGACCAAATGTTCGGAAATGCTAGTCCAATCCTCCGCCAACGCGAACAGACATTGCTGACAGCAAATGCAGGGATATCTCTGGCACTCGGTGGTTCCACGCGTGTTGTGGAATTGAATTCAAAGTGATTCGTCTCGCAACAATCATCGAAGATGAGTCGCAAGATTTCATCCGGAACCGTTCGGATTGGAGAGAGTAGAGCCTGAGCCTGAAGCATGATCTCTCGAAGACGATCCCGCTGTTGAGCCAAAAAAGACCTACGAGAATCAAGTGTATAAATCTCCTTCTCGTATTCCTCCAGGTCCTGTTGCGCATTGTGGAGAATCGAGGCGACCTCATCAGGTTCGGGGACTGAAGCAGGTCCTGATTCCCAGCGTAATTTTTCGAGAATGAACAAGTTGTCCACGATTTTTGGAGGCACGACGAGGCTTCTATTGCAGTTTGAGCAGAGCTGCATGTTTCAGATCAAGCACGCGTCAATTCAAATTTCAGATGACGGTGCCATAATTTAGGCGCCTAACTTTAGCGCCTGGCCTTACCCACTTTTCTTCTTCGTCTGAAATACTAACTCAACGGGCGAAGCTCTCTCACACACCTCAATCCTAATAGCTGGAATAGATCTAAATGGAGGAATATGATTTCAAGGTTGGCCAATTCGAAGCGGTCATAATGAACGTTTGATCATCCACAAAAAAACGGAAATCGAACTACAGTGCATTCCGACGCGGAGAATCGAACCCACGACTATCGACTCAATTGGGGGGATTTGATAGGCTATACTTAGCTGGAATAGATCCAAGTGGAGGAGGAGGATCAGGAGAGTATTGGGATTTCGAGTTGACGAACGAAGAAGAGGATGACATGATTCGCAACGTTATCGTTTGCTCGAGTATCCGAGTATCTCCTCATCGAATACAACAACAGTCGCACACTTCCTCCTTCACTACTATATGCCTAGTCCCTCCCTTCTGGTACACTCCGGATGTCCGTTTCTCATCCTAAATGCCTCTCATCCTGCGTCAGCATCCGTCGATATCCGAGTCCAACATTTGCACCTCTACCTCCTGTTGCTTCGACGACGACGATTTTTCGACGCTCGTATACCGGGGTAGCGATCGTTCACTCTTGGCATGGTATTGGCCAATGGTTAGCGCTGCTAATGCTGCTGCTAGTCGATCGTGGAGAGATTTTGCTTTGTTGACGGGGCATTCGTAAGTGTCATTTTTCACTCTTCCTTCGCGAACCAAAACTCTAATTAATATCGACATCGACAGACCCAACTATCTCTCCCCGCTTTACATCTGACGTCGTCTGATTCATCCCATTCCAGTTTCTACGCTAGCGTTACAGCGCCTTGTTCTAATCCACGGTTTATCCTCCTCGAAATCGCCTGCGGCTTTACTTCCTGCACCTCCGAGTGGATTATCGTAATTGGTAGTGCGAAGGTTTCATTCTCCTTCCTACACCCAGCTCCACGTCGCCAAAAGGCCCATTCTACGGCTCTACCCTTCTGCGCCTCCGAGTCCGTCTACCATCTCGCATGGCTGTGGGGGACTTTGGGCGTATGTGAGAGCTGGTTGTTTTGTTGGTGGCGTTTGCTAATGGGAGGAGGTCACGCGTGCGGGAGGGTAGCATCGAGAGTAGAGAATGGATCCTGTCGGGGTAGTCTCTGGGAACCTTGGGGCACCGAGGACATCGCCGGCGCCAGCGCTTTCTCCTCCGACGCTGCGAATGTAAATGGCCAAGTGCCAGCGCTGATATTCCGCGCGGGTTCGGGTGCTGGTTCTACCAAAACGACTGCAACTGCGACAATAACCACCATTATATCCTATTCCAACTGTGCAATCGTCGGAACAGCTGGAGGACCAAGTCTCTTGGCTTAGAGTAGGAAGCACAGGTGCAGTGCAACTCAGTCCCAATCAATGGCTCTGGCACTACCCTTCCTTAAATCGCACTTCTGAGTCTGTATGTTTGTGGGAAGTAGAAAGGAGAAGGAGGCACCAAGATTGAGGAGGATGGAAAGGCCTACAAAAACTTCGATGCGATGTCGAACAAGGATCGAAGGAGTATTAACGACGGAATCGCCGGAGCAGGATCACCAGCGCAGGTAATGGAGGAAGTAAAGGAGATCAAGGAAGATCAATGATTCGGAAGACCTTTCTGCTGGCGACAAAGCGTGTGCAAGCACCGTGGTAATGAACCCACTAGATCATGTACTGAAACACAATTCGTCTGGAATGAGATACTTGTGAGCACTCCGCTCGTTTGACAGCCACGAAAGCTGGTTCAGGCTAACTACCACCTTTGGAATTCAAAAAGGTAAACGAAACCTGTAAAAAGAAGCCATGTAAAAGTCCGTATGCCTTTTCAAGGCAGGGAATCGAACCCTGACTATTTATTTTGTCGTTCGAAGAATTATTGTTAACCACTAAACCATATTGGAATGAATGATGAACGCATGCGACTGGAGGGAAGGAGGTCTATGTGGAAGACTTCGCTGCTGCCACAGCACCAGCCCCAAAGGAATCAAGATCGACGGTGGAAGATGTCAGAATCAATGACGGCAAATTTTTCAAAGAGCTAAATAAATACAATGAATGTGTAATTGTTCAATTCACTGTAGTGAAACACGAGCTATGAGCATTATTTGACAGCGGGGAAGCCTGGTTCAGCTACTTAAGGATCAGAGAGAACCCTAATGAGTATTGGGCCAACTTCTAAAGCGGGCTGCTCAGGAAGCTAATGACAGCACTCAAATAGCTATGAGGAGTCATGAGTATCATCAGCAGCATATAAATGAGAGCACTGACTGTGCCGGGGCTTCAAACTGAGTTAAATGGGTGCTTTCTATGATTTCAACCCATTTGATCTTAGGGATCTCCCTGAACCATGGCGAATATGCGTTCTCCTGAACTGTATCAAAGGGGGAAGATATTAGCAGGGTGGGCACCTGAATGTTGTGTAGGATTTCAACAATAGACCAATCCTTCAGATTGCCGACAACGGTGAAAACATACGGCCCTAACCTATAAAAAGTACAAGAGCGGTCAAGCACGCATGGCATGGAGGATCCACAGCACAGTTGAGACTCACATTGCATTACCAACAGCTGGACAAGCATCACTGGCAGCAAAAGACGCCATCAGCTCCTGCGGCCATGGGTCCATGTTGCAGAGATGCTTCTTCCGAAAATCCCCAACAACTCGCTGATAATCAGGTGCGTTTAGTGTGCCTTCAGCTTCACAACGGTGCACAATGGCCTTATCTTCTTCACTGAATGAGTCCAGCAGATTATTGAGTCCAATGTAAAATTGGGGTGTAGATGCAGGAGCATTTGCAATAATGAGATGCTTTAGACCTTTGGGCTGCCTAGCAGCAGCAAAATTTCCAGCGAGCATTCCTATTTGACCTGTTAGGAACTAGGCAAAAACGAATCAAAGGCAACGAACCTCCCCAAGAATTACCCAAGAGATCATAGTCATTAGATATGCCGAGATGCTGAACAAGATTTTCTAGCTCGTCCATGAAGAGGTCTACTGTCCAAAAGGATGGGTGTGCATCATCGACATGGGAAGAATTCCCATTGCCGAGTTGGTCGTATAGAATCACGGGAATCCTGGTACAGAGTGAGTGAAATCCGATACACTGTACAGCGTAGTAACTATATATGTAGGAGTCACGAACCCTGCTAATTCAAAGAGTTTCGTGTTTGGTCTGCGATAAAACTTAGAACTGAGAATCGAAAGGTCAGGTAGATACTTACAGCATGTAATCATGCGTCATCCCTGGACCCCCATGTACTGCTACCAGAGGACGATTCTTGGACTCTCGGATTTGACCGGTAATGGTGTACCAAGTCTCGTAGGTCTTGTCATTAACAGTAAATGCTGCTTTTCCAGTGGTGGTCATTGGTTTGGAATGGTCAGACTCACGCCGCAATCTTAAAGCAGTTTATCAATCACAACTTTGCACAAGTTCAATGATATACGTGGCGTATACAGAAGCATCTGATCATTCTACAAGATTTTTCTCTGGCCTTTAAACGACCCGAGGATAAGTGATAATGCGCCACGCACCGTGTCACAAGGTCGAATGTCCTATCCCAAGTGATTGCTTCCTCAGGCTCGTCCTTGAGTTGCGATGTTGAACCGGGCAGAGAGGCCATGCAAGTCAGAGGAGATCAAGTTGAGACTTGAGATGCTGACTCGTGAGAGTCGATGAGTGCAGCCCGCCCGGACAAGCGCCGGTTGTCATCTTATACAACAACCACGACGCGTCGTCGTTCGTTGCCTCGTATATAACCTCCGCGCACCACAGCTAAATTATATTCGGACGACGAGGAGAAGAGGTTGGGCCTATATTTAGGATGAGAATGAGAAATTGCGCAGGATAAAAACGAAGGAAATTCAAGGAATGGACCGGTACGACGTAAAGGACATAATCCATTTTATTGGGTAGCGAGATGACATCTAATTCAAACAAATTCGCAGTGGCGCTCATTGCATGTGAGTGGTACTAATTTAGTACCATAGCTTTGTTATTGTGTGTACTGACTGTTATGTTCTTCATCCCTTTCCTTATTCCTTCGCCTTCTGATTCTTCAGTGGCTCTCCTCGAATTACCTTTTTCAGAAACTTCGAGACTCCCTTCCTTTCCAAACGATCCCAGCCTAACGGTCCCAAAGAGCGCAATCGATGGAGGCTCGCAGGGGCCATGAGCAGGGTAGACACGAACCGCGCGAATGGACGAATATGGCGTACTAAAGTCTAGCTGACTCACCAGGATTGTAGAAAGGAGTCCACATCCGTGTGCTTTTGGAATCGGAATCACATCGTCTTCATCCTCTCCTCCGTCTTCCGAATCTTCCTCTCGACTTCCTCCGTGCTCCTTCACTACTACCATATCCTACTCCGCGGACCCGGAAACAAACATCGTCGACCTTGACCCTCCGATACCGCTACCGCTATATCCAATCGTGAACAGGAGTGGAATCAGGTGTTGAAGAGGAACTCAAATATTTGTGGCGATGGTATTTGGAGGATAGGATAGGAGTTTGTGCCTTCTCCTTACTCTATCTCATTGTCGTCGATTGGCATAGGAGTGAGAGTTTATCCATCTCTACACCAAGGGGAGATGGTCATGGGCGTCGAGCAGAGCAGAGCAGAGAAAGAGGCGACAGCGGCACCAGACGCTATGTCTGTCCCGGCTGTTTCCTCTCGTCAGCGTCTTCCGTGGATTTGCCAGATAAATGGAAAACTTTAGAGTGGAGAAACGGTTCACTCCGCCTACGGGTACGGGTGTGAGGAAGGATTGGGGTACGACAAAGTGAGCGAGCGAGCGAGTAAGGAGGAAAAGACGCTACCTCGAAATCAAAAAACCAAAGCTCCCTATCGCTCTTTCCCACCCCAGCCCTCTCCTCAACAACGGTTCACCCACTTGCATCCCTACCCTTGTACTCAAAAATCCCCTCAGGCCTCGTTTCCTTATCTAATTTACAATTCAATGCCGAAGAATCCATCCAAATTAAGAGATGAGGGGAGGAGGTGGTTAGAAATGTTGGGATGTTTGTGGACGATCGATGACTTTTGGGAGGGAGGTTCCGTCGTTACATGGGAAGAAGGAGAATATAAATCTACGATGAATCCTTCGAAGGTCGCCGTCACTGTGGTCTGCGGCTTTACCTTCATCCACGCAGTCCCACTACTTGAAAATGATGGATGTGGAGATCAACCAGGACCAAATGAGAGCGATACTGATACCATTCCACTGCCTACGCTTGGCCCTTGCCAGTAAGCAATGTCAGCGGGAAGATTAGCTGAGGAGGCAACAAAGGCCCGAGGTATATAGGAGGGCGCGGGAGAGTGTGGAAGATGGAATCAAGCAGGGAGGTTGGAAGTTGGAGGATGTGGAAGTGCAGAGGTGCAGAAGGGAATTGACAGAGGTACGAGGGGTTGCTGCGAGAGCGGTTTGGTTGAGTTCCTTTTCATCGGCATATTTTTCGGTCTGGGTTCGGTGTCATCAGCTAGGATGCTCAGTGTTTGGGTTTGGGCCTTTTCTTCAACTGGATTTTCTTTCTTTAGCTTCAGTTTCGGTTTAGGTCCTTAATGGACTTATGTCAAATGTCCCTTCCTTCCTTCTGTTCAGTTCCTATGGAAAGCCGGAAGGCCTCGCTCACTTTGACAGTTCCGTTGATGGCAGCTGTCAAGGACCCGGAAAACCTCTAATCACATAATATTTTTCTTCATTCAGCGCCTCTCACAATTGCAGTTCGGCAAGGTGAAAACTATACTTGAATATTCCGTAACTGTAGCTCTGGGACAACTCTGGAGTCTATATTTGAGTAGTAAAGCCGCAGTTTTAGTCTAAAGTAATCTAAACTTCAATTCTAAATTCTGCATCTGGAAACAGATACTCTACTATAGTCGCTACAGTGGCTACAAGAGTCTACAGGGCTTATGTGACTCTCCTACAAGGCTCTATAGTAGCTCACATAGATCCTGTAGCCAGAATGCACTTGGAGATGTGGCTTCAGAGGAATATGATTATATAAATGACTGCTGATTCTACAAGGTTATCTACTTATGAGTACATGAGTATTTAAGTAAATATATAAGGATTCGACAAAAGGGGATGTAAATCCAAATGCAAGCAAATATGTGTGCAAGGGTTAATCATCCTCCAGGGTCTGAGACTTGAGAGTTGACTGCCAGTGTGGGGCAAAGATGTGAATGTGTGCAAATGGATCAAGCAGCTGTGGACATCAATATTCAACAAATCAAAGCTGGAACAACCCTCAAGATGCACATTGTCAGTGACAATGGTAGCAATTACTTAACTTGTAGCAAAGTTGGGGTCTACTAAGTATTACTACTGTAGTATCAGCACACTTGTACTGCATTAATTCTAGAGTCTTCTACAGATTGACTCATACTTATCAGGCACATATGGGCATGGAGCAGGAGAGCTTGAAGGAAGTATTCCCAGTGTTGCCCTGGGCAACACTGGGCATGCCAGATTAATCTCTTGAGATTAATGCTTGATTAAGTACTATCTAATCAAGTAATGAGGTTTAATCCTAAGGCATTAAAGATGAAAGCCTAGGTAGCAAGGGGAAAACCGACTCTTGATCTTAGCTTGAAGCATATGCAGTAGAACTTTTGGAGGCTTCCTGGAGCATCACCATGGTGCTATGAGCCATGTAAGGATTTCAGTGTCCTCCTGCCTGTTTCCACTGACACTGTATGCATATATGGGCCTCTGGACATCATGTCCGTTCCTTAGGAGTTTCAAAGATGTTGCACATACACATTAAGTTCCATTAGCAAAACCTGTATTGACTGGGGTGTTGGAATAAATTGAATATATGCATTGTAATCAATTCCCTCTGGTCTATAGTGAAAAGCCTGAGCAAACATGCAGGAATCAATTCAGAGGTATGATACT